GCTGAAGCTCCCAGAGGCTCCCAGCCAGCACCTCCAGAACAGGCTAGGAGATGCTGGCCAGGAGGACTCCCCTTGTGCCAGCAGAGCAGGGCAGGAGTTCCGGATGGTCAGTTTTAAGTGAGAAGAGAGATCAACAAAGCTGAGAGAGGAGGACACACTTGAAATATCAGGTTGGTGCCAGATGAAGCTTTGACACCATTTGGCTTAGATGTGACAAAATAGAAAAGTGGGTGTGGCACAGAGGGACCTTCAAATTGTCAATACCAGCATCTCTGTCAGGCAGCCCAGGCTGCTCTAGGCCTCCCGAGATTTGGTTGGAACCCATATTCATGGGGCAGCCAGTCCAGCCAGGGAGCACTGCAGAACACCAGAATATAGGGCTCCTAAAATTTATGGCTAGACTTTTATGACGATGGAAATATTTTTTTAATTGAGGCTTGCACCACCATTACACTGCTAATTTAATTATTCCCTATATTTCATCCATCACCATCTGATCCTCAGAAAGCAAATAGCTTGTGTTCTTGACAAGAAAGTGCCAAATTGATTAAAAGTGTGTGCGAGAGGGGGTTGGGCTGTGACTCCTGCCTGTAGCTGGACCTCAAGTGTGCCCAGGGGAGGTGGGAAGCAAGGGAACACAGAACTCACCCCCATGCACTCACCAGAGTGTCACCTTGCCCCCTGCTCTGCCCTACAGCCACAGAGTCACAATGCCATGCTGTGTATTGAAGGTGTGCACGTGTGCATACATACACCCGAGGCCAGACACATTCACAGGGGTAGGCTCCATGACACCAGTATGATGCTTCCCCTTTCCACACGCCCCTCATCTGTCACACCCGGCCAGACGTAGCGAATTCACCCTGCTCATAGACACAGAGCACAGAGCCGTGGCTGGTGACCTCACACCAAGAGGCTGTCAGGAGACTGCCCAGGCCTTACACTTGCTCGTGCACCGCAGATCCTTCAGAAGTGGGCCCAGGGAGCCTGCTGAGACCCAGAATCCCTTCTGTGTAGGAATCAAGGCCTTAGCCTGCCCTGTCCACCCAGGAGGAAGGACACAGTAATATTCTGTCAGCCAGTCACAATGGGATTATCCCTTTGTGTCCCTGCTGATCTGAACTTAGGTCCTTACTTCCTCCATGCAAGTAGGTGGCATATGTCGGCCATGTGCTGCTTGGGAGTGCCTAGCGTTAGTGTGTGGAGGTGCCCACATGAGGTGCCTATGTGTCAGCTTTTCCCACCTGATTCTTCCTCTTTTTCATTCCACCACATCCCTGATAGCTCCTAGAGCCTCAGGGGATGAGAAGACTGGCAACCTAGGTCTCCCAAATTCTTGGGAAGCGGAAACCCTGCCACTTGGGCCATCTCTTGGCCATACCCAGTTTGGGTTGTATCTTCTAGAGGTTTCATGCATGCGGGTCTTCTCTCCCTAGTTAAGGGGCATGTGGGGGGCTGGCTAAGGCGAGTAAGAGAGCGTGTGTTGTATGCTGGGGTGGAGGATAAAAATGAGCAGGCTCCAGCAGGGGCAGAGGGTACAGCAATTTGGGATTTAGTAAATACAGAATGAATGAATAAGTGAATATGGGAGAAAAGAGTTAGAACAAGCGGCAGGAGAGGGAGGGAGCTGGCCTCCAGAGTGAGGGCTGGTGGGGGTGCCACTAGCCAGGGCAACGCTGCCATTAGTCATTGTGAAAGCTCCAGGTGCCCGGTGAAGGCCGGGGTGATCCCTGACCCAGCCTGATCAATCCTAATGGAATGGAGCAGAGGGATGGCTGCCACAGGGAGAGGCCCACCCGTCCTCCCTGATGTCCTTGTAACTTCATCAGCTGTTACAATAGCCTGAGTGCAGAAGCCTGCCTACCTCAGTCATGTCTGGGATGCTCTGGCTGACTTTGAGTGCCAACAAAGAGGGCACAAAGTGAGGAGAGGACAAGGAGCAGGCCACCTGGGGAGGGGGCCCTAAATCATATCCTGGAGGTGGCCAGAGACTGAGCATGAGCAGCAGCAAAAGGTCCCTACGCTTGAATCCATATTTGTTTCTTGAGAGGGTCGGGGGACCTCGAACCTTTCCTTAACCATCTAGGACACATTGATGCATCTTCAGGCAATTCTGCTCCTCTTCAAGGATCTGCACTCATGCCCATGCCTACAGGAATTCTCCCTGGCTTCTTTCCACAAAGCAGCCTTTTTACTCCAAGGTCTTGTAGCATTAGTGGCCTGTGTTGTGGGCTCTGATCCCAGGGTGGCCTTCGGGCTGCAGGTAATGCTTGACAAGATCCCAGGTGCTAGAACAGTTTTTGTGTTCCAGTGGTCCTGTCTTCTAGGCTGGGCCCTTGGCCCTCCTCCCCCATGTCTTTGCTGTGAGCTGTTTATCTGTCTTGTCTCCCTGCACCCCCCATACACCATGACCTCCCTTACTTGTCTCAATGCCCTGAGTCTAAGTGCAGTAAGCACAGTCAATGCTCAATACATGTGCTCCTCCTCAGCAGGATTCTATGATGATGATTCAGCTTCTCTTGCCCATATCTGTGCCTCACTGTAATGACGGAAGTGGAAGAAAAAAAGGCTCCCCCAGACAAACTGGATCTAGGGAAGCCCTCTGAGCTGGTTACCTGAGGCCAGCAGCCCCTCCAGCACTATGCCAGCCCCTGACCCATGTTGTCGCTCAGCCAGGTGCCAGGACACCCACACAATAGTGCCACCCACAGACATCCCTTCTCTAGCTTCCACTGCTGAATTTATACTTGGCTCCCTATTTTGCATAAGATAAGAGAAACCCTTGAAAATATTGTTGAGCCATTCATATTTGTGTGCACAGCCTGTGAAAGATGATGTCGAGAGCTGGCTTTCACTCTGAGCAAGTCATGGCAAATCTGAACCCAGAGCAGAGAGGAAGGAGGAAGGAGGAAAGAGCACCCACCACAAAGTCAGTCAGCCTTTCCTAAAATGACAGGCTGTTCCCTGCACTTCAGAAATCTCTGTGGCCTGGGCAAAGGGAAGGATGTTACCCAGTGTGGGATGGCAGCACTCCCTAGGGAGCTATTTAATTCTCAGTCCCCCAAATCCTGACTTGAATGCTTAAAAATGCATTGGATAATTCATAGTGTACAGGCCAATTGTGTTTGTTGCAGTGATGTGTGTGCATTCGTACACACACACACACACACACACACACACACACACACACACACTGCATTGTCTGCAACCTGAGAGAGTGAGGTCCATTTTCATACATCTGAGAAAGCTTCCTGAAGAAGGTAAACCTTGAGAAAGGGGAGGGGAGAACCAGCTTGTTGTATTCCCAAGCACATTTCAGGGGTCCTGCAGATTCCATGTGGAAGTCACCTCAGAAGAATCTTTCCTGGCACCTCATCTCAAAAGCCTCCTTCTTCTCTATCTGGTTGCTTGCTTCATCCTCCTTCAAGGCACTTACCGCACTTGACCTTGATAACATTTGCTTATTTGTGGATTATTCCCACCCACCATGTGTCTTCACAAGAACAGATATTTTGTCTGTCCTCTGTGGTTCCCCTGTGCTAACATGGTCCTGGCACCAAGCAGCCACTCAGGCACTGTGCTTTCAACAAACACCTGGCCTGGGAGGACAGGGCAGGGCTTGGGAATGTGGCTGTTTTTCTCCAGAAAACCCTGCTGTCTTCCTACCTCCTGATGAAAGGCTGCTGGCTTGGTCCAGCACCCAGTGGGGAAGACCTACCCCAAACCTGGGCTGGGACATGCTCGGAAGTCCCTCAGAACCATGCAAATATGAGACTGGGTAAAGGTTACACAGAGGGGACAGTCTTTGCTTTCTAGGGATGATTAGGTTTTTGCCAAGAATTCACTAAAATTATCTTTGGAGAGTGAGCTGTGTTCCTGCCTTTCACAAAATGGCACAAAACGACCAGTTAGGAATCATCTTTCATCATTAGAGGGATCATACAGGGGTGTGGGGAGGAGGTGGCTCTGATCTCCAGGAACCAGCTCTCTGGATACTACAGCCCAGGTCAGTGTGGGCGAGGCCACTCTGGGGTGCCCAGAGTCCTGAGGGGAACACGTTACCCATGAAGGGGAACTTCTGCCAGTAGCCCGAGGTCCTACACCCGCTA